CAACTCCAGTTAGGAGTAGTGATAAAGTCTAGGCGAGGTTAAGGCTGCAGACATCCTGAATGAGTGAACTAGGTAACATCCAAGGGCATCGAGATGCCTCTTCATTTCATTGTCTAAAAATGCGGCTAATTATAAGTACTTATATCACCTAAACGTTTCCAGGGTTTCTCAATACTAATTTGAAAACTAATGATAGTCTCAAAAAGTAATCTTATTTTTTCATAATTAAGGATTATATCTGCAAGCCCAATTTTAATAGTATTCTGTGTAGCAGTATTATTATCCTTGGGGAGACTTTTATTTCGTATGAATGTTCATGGTGAAGAGATTAGATGGTTGTAGTAAACCCAGAAGACGATGGCTGATCTGCGTTGTACTGCAGACATCTGGATTTACTACAACGTTCAGATTGACGTAACATGAGGCATCCTCACTCGTTTCGAGTGAAAGAGGCTGAGATTTCAGTCATCATAAGATGGGCATCATATAGCTAAATCTCATTCTTGCAAAAGTCTCAAGTAAACATTAGGTCGAAATAACTGAACGGCTCTATCTTATGCCAATGATCATAAGTAGTATGAGACTAGAGGAGATTAGCTATTTGATTAAAGATTTTAAACGGCTAAAACATTTAATACTGGGGAACAATTATCGTTTGGGTTTAGTTGACGATAACAACTATTTACTGAGGAATTAATTTTCTGATGAGACTATTTAGTCAAAGACAAATAAGCCGAGACCTTTTTTTAAGTCTTAGTTTTGCCGTCATGCTTTTCTTCTAAGAAGATAGGCAGACTAGTGAGAGAGGTGGGATATAAACAATGTTCAAATAAACCTTCGCAATCTCTTCTGTTATACCATCTTTTAGAGAGGACTATGAAGCATTATCAAGATCCAAGTGCTATAGGATTGTGTGTTCCTGTGATCGACCATATATTAGTGAGATATTTCGTCATATTCAACAAAGATTTGGGGACCACAAAAATGCTTGTAAAGGGAGCTGGGTCGAACGGTGATAAGTGGCCGAACACATAAACCAGGACCTGGGCAGTAGATAAAATGGTCTCAACTGAGTAGGTTTGCTGATTATGCTACGTCTGCTATTAAATATAAGATAAAAGAGGCTATTTAAATTAATACATTAGGGAATATGTTGAATATGAGGAGCAATGGTAAAAAGTGTACGAACTACTTATATTTCGTATGTAAGTAGAATTTCGAGACTATCAGTAAATCAGTAATATGAAATGTATTCACCCTATTTCGTTTAGGTGATGAAGGACTGGTAGTAGAACTATTTATGCTTGATTCATATATTGAAGGAGAGAGAGGGAGGATGTGGAGTCGCCATTCAAGCGAAGGCAACTCAATTTGTTCGCTCAATGATGTTTCTAACTTACGCACACTCATTAAAAATGTTATACTAAGCTCATCAACCAAACCAGACGTACCATATTATGCAGCCTCAGTCATGCCTTTTCTTGAGTGGTTAAACAATAGTGACGCTAAACTGAGAAGTTAAGAAAGGTTGTTTCGTAACTATAATTGCTTACAGACTTACGCAGTCTCGGTCAGATTTTTTTCGGATCCTTAAGCCTTGGTGACCCGAGCATGACTTCAGTCTTTTTTAATTACACTGATTTAAGAACATTATTACATATAGACGTTAACGCACAAACACTCACACACGCTAACAAGAATAGCCGGACCAATATAAAATATAATTGGCTAAACCATTGCATATCTACTTATGACCCATTTTCTTTTGCTTCAATGAGCCCATATAAGAGGTAAGATAGAGCCGAATAATCTTCTTGACCAAGTGTTAACGTAAGGCTTTTATAAAAATGAGCTCCAGCCCTATTGATGTCTATCATATAATGAAAGAAAGCTCAGCCTGTTTTCCCCCGAAACGAGGGATGATGTCTCGTGAACTGCGTCAACCTGAACGTTCTAGTACAAAGGGAATCAACCCTCTCATGGTGAGATCAACCCTTAAATCTCTTATTCGTGCACTTTAATACGAAATTTAAATCTCCTCATCAATGTTATCTCAAGAGATTCATCAAAAACAAGTTACTCCTCGTAAACCATTAATATCTTTTGAGTGCATATTTTCTTTATGCTGAAGTCTTATTGCCTGTCTTTACACTTCTGCTATATTTTGATTCTCAGCCTATACTAATATTTTCCATACCTCATCATTTTTAACCAACATTACAGATCACCATACCTATAGATGTCATCATTGTGGGGTCCTTTTTAGTTATCCACATCAGTTAAAGGCCCACCTCTTTATCTCAGGTCATGGCGAACCAGTCTCCCAACCGCCTCTTCAATATCGGCCATTGTGGTCTTCAGGAGTTGGACCTATCTTCCCAAATATGAGCACCATTAATCCTAGTTGTTCGTCGCCAAAAGTTTACAATTTCGGCCTATGGTCAAAAGAATTACAGGCATACATGTCCAAGCTAAACGTCTGGCCAAAATCTGACCGTTTAAAGAAGGCTTTTGAGGCACACAGCAAATCACATAAATGTATCAAGCAGCTTGAAGTTGACACAAGCCAAAAAGCAAATGTGAAAATTTGTAGTATGACCTTGAATAAAACTGAGGATAAGGATAAATCATGCAGGCCGGAGGTCAAAATGGAGGCTGAATTTTCCTCCGAAATCGATTCAGTAGTGAGACTTGAAACCGAAATCGGCCCAAGCAGGAGAAAAGATCTGGTTCCTACGTCGAAAAGGGAAGACAACAAGATAACACCCGTTAAGCTAGATCGAAATGACAATGCTTCACCTGGCGATGGTGTTAGTAGTGAGGGTATTGGGGTAGGTGGGCATCCGTGCAGCTATTGCGGTAAATTGTATTCACGGAAGTATGGTCTTAAAATTCACCTTCGCACTCATACTGGACACAAGCCACTACAGTGTCTTGTTTGCAGGAGGAGGTTCGGAGATCCTAGCAACCTAAACAAACATCTTCGCTTGCATGCCGCCAACAGTTTAGAACATTGCGTCTTTGGCGGGACTGGACATGGCAATAGAGGACGTGAAGACTCTAACGACAGTGGCTGTGAGCGTCCAGAAGGAGGTAGAAGTGTACTCGTTCAAGCCACTTTGGCCAGACACTTGGCTATCACTAGTCCTTATAGGTGTTTAGACTGTGGAAAGGTTTTGGTGCGAAGACGTGATCTGGAAAGACATATGCGAACCAGACACGCAAAGTCACCATGCCGCAGAGCTGGAGTGAATAAGTCAATGAACTATTCTGGCATGAAGTGAATAATATTGCCATATTATAAAAGGCATAATCCTATCATCCCAAAACATTATTTTGTATTGATTACACTTAATACCACTTTATTTTATCGAGTTTTGGTAAAGATGAGCTTATTTTATTAAAATTACTCTATGTACGACCACAATGGCATACATATTTGAACAAGTCACACATATCAAAGGCATTTAATTTACGAGGAATCGTGCCATTAGCTCAGCCACGCACAAAATCTTGTCAAATACTAATTGTTTACCTCAGCTAGTTTGAATCCCTGACCAAATCCCACATCACACGAACTCACTCATATATACTTAATCCGAATAAAAATACTCCATTTTTTTCGGTGTTTGAATATTGATACATCATATTACTCCTGACCCCATCCTTTCTGTAAATCCGAGTAGTAGACGTTGTCCGATGAAACCACTTCCCTTCCTGTTCCATATTTCATTATTGGTCCTCTTATAAGTTGTATAGCCCTAACACTAGTTTATCCTTGCCTTCTCTGCTCCCGTTCATCTCCTAGCTGTAATAGTCATATAGTTCCCAATTGTTTGCAACTTTTCTTCATTTTTAGCGTCATCTTAAAGACAATATTGCTAGCAGTCAATTAGTAATGACAAAGTAAATGGCTAAATAGATAATAGGATTTTGAGTTGAGAAAAGTTTACCTCTCAATCATTCGATACGCTTTACAGGGTAAAAAAGAGATAATACAGGATACTTACAATAAATAATTGTCAATTTAAGATACCGTTTTAACAAAATATCCAGAATATTAGAGTCAATTAAAGTAACCAGATAAATACTCTTCTATATTATCAAGATCAGCTTCAAAATGTTTAGATATACAGCAATTGTATCGTTATATCTATAAAAGGAAAGAAGAGACTCGTAAGCTAGAGTGATAGAGATAATAATCCTTGGGATAATTCTTGCGCAAATATTAAATAAGGAACATTAGTCTGCTGTGAGAGGAAATTGCTCACCAGTAAAGGAAAAGGACGGGTGTAATAGATTATAAACCATGCTGAGTCTAGCTTATTGATTAATTATAATCTATGTGCAATCCATATTTATTCAATATAAATATTCATTCTTAAGTCAAGACATTCTAGTAAGCTAGGGCAAGTTCTGCAAAAATTATGAAGCAAAAGTGTCTAAGTGATGAAAAGTAGTATAACAATTTTCGTAGAAATAAGGAGGCTAGTAGAAATGGCCAGTTTAATGCAATTTATAGATACGGTATGATTATGCAATTATACGTTAAAGATATTGAGCTGAGCCTTCGTAAGCGGCATCTATTTTTAATGAAAGTCAGCACAAAGGCTTCCAAAATACTGCATTGTGCCAAAAAGCCCCGGAAAATTTCCAATTTAAATAAATTTAACTTCACTAGGAATCATATTTATTGATCCACGTTCACAGTACAGGCTCTCAAGAGTGGTGCAAAGACATTTCACAATGAGGTATCCAACACATCTAATATGTTGAACAAATTTTGAAAAGAATTACAGTAATTATCAAAGCTTGCCAGAATGTTCGGGACAATCAGCCCACCAAGACCAGCTATATAATCGATTAAGTATAAAGACTAAATGCGTAGGTAATAAAACCCAGGGCTAAGTTTAAAAATATTGATCGTAAATATAGTGGAATTAAGGATAGGCGAATATGTACTGTTTATGGTATTCTAGGGACTAAAGATTGGTCTAACTTTGCAGAACTGTAGATTTTTCGAATTTTGTTATTATCTTATAAATGTATCTTGCTAATGCATGCTTATTACGATAGGAACACAAGTTAAAAATCATATAGGTTTCATCGTCACTCTCATTGAGATGCCAGAAAATGACCTAAGTGCAAAAATAAAAACGCTTTATATTCTGAAGATTATCCTTAGGCAAACTTGCTCAAGTACTGTTGATTTTAACACCGGAGAAACAAGCCATAAATTAAAGGCATTTAGAAACAATGAAGAAAACTCAAAAGCAAATAGTCACAACTAAATCTACAATGAGTATGAATTTCGAGAAACAAAGTCGAATGCACTTCGCTGGGCTAGACAAACACAAGTTGTCATTGTTCTCACCAATATTCTGTGTGTGGCAGGTGGGCTAGCTACATGCTTTTGAAGATAAATGCTAACGAACGAGGAAATGAGAATACTCTAAAGAAAACATAATTCTAAACATGTAGTCATAAAATTTTTGAAATTATTTTTTCGATATTTTAATTTTAATGCAAATACATTGTTTGTCTAGCATTTATTCTGCACATATTAGGCAAATACTGCTATAAATATTTGCAAATAGAACTGCATGTGACTTTGGAAACATGAATTCAACAAATAGTTTATGAATCTCTTTGGAATGTAATTTACGTCTATAAGTGATAACTGCGTAGAAACTGACTTAATAAGCTTAAAGCATGGCTATTTTTTATTTATTTATTTATTGTAATTATAATTGTAATTTGTAAATTTAATAACTTACCCTATTCAAAAGAATACTTAAACTAATGATGTATCTAACAAAAAGAAAGATCCCTTGCTTACTGCATAAAACTGAATTAAGTATGCATAATTTCACACTTAAGATCAAAAATAGAACTTAGGGCACTTACATTTATACTCAATAGACAACTTTTATAAAGGTATAAAGTGGTAAGCATGTCTAAATAATACGCAAAGTATTTAAAAAGGCTACTTATAAATGAAACATGTTGCAAAGAGTTGAACAGAATTTAGAATTTAGGTATGCAAATACGCATTAAAATGA